ATAATGGGTAAAACACAAACACTGTATTATAGATTCTTAATATAAAAATGATTGATTCTTCTGCTTCCTCTCCTTTTTTGCAGTTGAGTTTTAAGCCAAGTTGGACTCTCTAGTCAGTCACAGAAGAACAGTAGAAAGAGAAAGTCAGAAATGACCTTCTAACACTGAAATACTAGGATGCCAGAACACTAGAATACTAGAACCAGTCCATTGTCCTCAGTTATGAAAATGAAAGGACATGAAGAAATCACAGATAAGAAATTGCCTGCTCATTTTTCTAACTTCTACAACAAACTCTTGTCCTGATTCAGGGTTCAGGTCAAATAATGATCTGCATCATCTTGCTTTCCTTTTATATTAAACACAAAGATAAAACAACCCTCCATACTCTCAAATCTTAGAGGTTAATAACAACCTCTACATCAGAAATTGCCCCCAATTCTTTAATTTTTAATATAAAATCTGTTTTTTTTGCTCCCTATTACTAAAATAATTTGTTTTGTCTGGAAAATCAGAAATCCTCCAAATCAAAATAGCCAAATTTAAAAAAAGAAATAGATAAAAGTAAGTTTACTTTTCCCCTCAACAAGAGTAAACTGCTCAACAAATGATGCCTGAGAGATGGCAGTCTCAATCTAGCATCTCCATCTCCAGCCTTCCCAAACAATGAAAGACCTTGAGAAATTTCAGAATACCACATACATAAACTAAGTTAGATTTTGATGGTTCCAAAACTGAACTTTGCCTCTCAGGCACTGAGATCTTGATCTATAAAATATGGGTAAGATGTAAGGAAAGGAAAAGTAGAGTAAGGATTTGATAGGACTGTAAATAATGGCACTATACAATTGTAATTATTGTTTTAAATTGAAATAGAGCTCTGGTGGCAAGAAGCTAAACTGGAATCCCAAAAGTATGTGGTTCGAGGCCACCAGCTACTCCTCAGGTTACTTCTGTACAGAAAATGGACAGACCAGTGTTATACCATTTAGAAGAATGTGATAGTTAATTATTTATAACTTCAAGAATAAATATACTCTTAGTAAAAGTTTTCATTATTTTTTAAATCTTTTTAATGCAAATAATCTAAAGGAGGATAATTTTCCAGTTGTAGAAGAGTTGTTAATGACCTGACTTACCTTGTCTGAATATGAAAGTTGTTTGTGGTCCCTGTGTGCTCATAATCATGAATGGCAGCAGCAAAGACCATTGCCAAAATTTCCAGTTCAGTAAGCCAGTGCTAGGAAATTCAAAAAAATTCTGTCAGACTGAGAAAGCAGAAGCTACATTTTTCTACAAAAGTGAATATATATAGTGATGTTATGTTTTCATTTTGCTTTACACGTTGAATTACACAAAGTGATGTTTTTATTTTAGATACGATTTTCTTCCTATTTTCATTTCCGTTAACATGAATAAGCATATGTTTCCTTGCTTTAAGTTCAGAACTCAGAGGTTACAATTTTTATTACCAATTTAAAAAAATGACCATTTTTCTGTAATTTCAAGGTAAACCCTAACTGAATTGTCGATGCATGGCATCATTATTTTTTTCTTTTCAGTAATTAATTATTTTTGAGTTTTTCCAACTTTTAGCTTGTAGATCACTAAAATGCCTTCTAGTGTAGTTTGTATTCTACAAGAAAAATTTCTATATGTAAGCCCAAAACATTCATTTTGTTCATATGGTGAACTGGATTTTTATATTTAAAAATTTCTAAATGTAGGTAGTATTTGAACAAAATTATTACTAATGGCATATATTCTACTTTTAGAATGAAATTTAATAATGATAGGGGGGAAAAAGAAATGCTTTTCACTTAAAATTCAGAACAACAAGCCTATATACACTGATATTTCTGTTATGAGCTGGGCAACTTAACAAAATTTCTCTACTATTATACATCCATTTGGAACGAATTTAATTTTAATTCTGCCTACCCATTGCTCACATTTTATATAGCATTTTTCTGTGCTGTTCAATATGGCACCCATTAACTGAATGGAGTTATTTAAAGATAAAATTAAACAAAGCTAAATTTTCCTTTATACTTATACTAGGCACACTTCGATTTCTAATGGTCACTCATGGCAAGGGATTGCTTTCTTTATAGAATGGTGCAGATTCAGAGAATTTCCATCAAGACAGATGAAAAGTTAGTGCTGGAAGTAGCTGGTACTCGATGGCACGAATTGAGGATCCAAAGTGACATAGGACTTGCTCTTGGTAAGTCTTATTCTATATCATTGAAACAATTAAAGGTGCTGCACACAGGTGAAGGGAGCACTAAAAGCTGCATGTCTAATTCATTCAAGGCTATAGAGTAAAGAATGAGGATATCTGAATGGCAATTTCAGTGAAATTTTCTTTGAAAGAAGGATGCTTCCAGAGTTTAGTGGGGATTAGGGAGGTGGTGAAAACTTAAGGCAGAAGACATTTAAAATATACAGAGCAAATTCAGAGTACACTGTAGTTTGCATGAAACTTGAAGTGCCAATAGTAAACTTGTATTGGGGAATCAAGGACTTGAAGTAAAAAAGACAGAACTAGGAAAGTTGATGGTCTACCATGATGAGAACTGATTTATTGAAACTTTGTTAAAAAGAGAAAAAGGACCTACTCTTATTCATGAAACAAAAATAACGAGGAAAACTATTAAATCTCATAGTTGTCAAAGTCACCATCTTTTTCATTTTATCTTCCCTTTACATAATTTGAAATGGCATTTGTAATGTAATGAGGACTTAATATTTGGCTGTTGAACTGAATTTCATCAATTTTATATTAAAAGGCAAAGAGAAAGTATAATAGGAAGAGACTGTAAAACCAGATAATTCTAAATTTGAGTTTTTGTTGATTGTCAGGCAGATAGTCATTTGCCCTCTCAGCCATTAAAATAAAAATGAAACCCACTTAGGTTGAATTAGTTCTGAGTCCATATATTTTTATGGAAGGAGGCTGGCCATCTTTCTCTCATGGAGCAGTTAGTGGATTTGAACTGCTAATTTGTGGCTAGCGGCACACCACACACTGAACTAAGCCACTACAATTTTTTCCCTCTCAACGACTGTATCTACATAACAAATTAGTGATTTTCCTATTGTGAGGTATTAAGAGAAATTTAGCGCTATCATATGCATAGTGCCTATCACCAGGCTTGTCATACGAAAAAAATACAAAATAAGTGGTGTTTTACTGAGCTTATTGCCTTAAATACACACATTAAGGCATTGAATCTAGAATAGATAGCTAATACATTCCCTGTGATTGTAATTCAACTAGAAATACGTTACAGCAGGATGACTGAAGCAGAAATGATTTTTATAACCAAAGGGGAGTTGTTCTAACTAGGTGCTCTATGTTTATAGGTGCAATTTTTATTAATGGCCTGGACTTTGGGCTGAGCTGAACCCAGCCTCCAATGTCCCTAGTGAGACTGGGGACTTAATATCCTGAAATTAATAACAATTGAAGTAAAATCCATTTCCCCTCCCTCTAAGAAACTTATTAAACTTACCAAAGAAAATCATGGTTGTGGGTAAAAAAAGGGATAATTTATATTTTAAGAAAATTCTTTCTGTTGATTATACTTATGGGATTATAGATTTGTCTGGGATTAAAACATTATTAACATCATATATCCACTGTGATATCAAAGAATGTGAAGTTATAACTGCTTAATATTAGATCAAGACACCAGAGATGTAAATGAATTATAAATTTGTTTATAAGTATTTAAATACATTATTTCCTGTGCTGTCAAACGGAATACCCATGTTTCCTATTTATAGTCTCATTCATCATTTCCCCCCATAAATAGTACTTGTTCTGAGAAATTTTTCTTTGGTGCCACGTAATGGCTTGAATTTTTTTTCATAAACAAGTTTTGGAAATAAAAATATCAAAATTTTGTACTTTATTGATAGATAATTTTGTACAACTTATTTTAAAAAAATTTGTGCCATTTTATTTTACACTAATTTTGTATAAAATGTATCTATTTTATGTTAGTGAACATAGAATTTAGGACTGATTTTTGGCTCCTTAACTGCTAATTAATTTTACATTAATGTCAAATAAGAATGCTCAGAAAAATAATGTCTATCAACATATTGTGGATTTTGAAAATAATTCTTAAGGGCTGAGAAGCCATGAGAATGAAGCTTAATCACATAACTTCTAAAATCAGAGACTAGTCAGGACATAACCTGGGTTCTTCGAATCTCCAAAGGGCAGAAAACAGGGTTAAAGATTCATAAACACACATGTGCCCTGCTTCATCTAAACCGTGTGCACGTTTTGCCCAGAGAAATTCTCAGGCACACCTTAGTCTAAAATGAGGTATCTTCAAATTACATCCTAGGGAGGCACTGACTGACATCAACAGCACATATGACAATGACAAAGGAAGGAGAGGGAGCCAGGATTAACTGTACTCTTTAGTTTGAGGGTCTTCCCTAATTGTAACCATCTTACTTACAATTTGCTAGGTACTTCTCTTTACCATTATTTTGCAAATAAGGAATCTTAGAGAGATGGCTCAGCGTGCTTAAGGTCACACACTTATCAAGTGCCAGAGAAGAAATTCTCAGCAAGCTCTGTCTGATTTGAAAGTTTCTATTCTTTCTATGATTTCAGAAGCAGAATTTCTAGCTAGTTAGCTCAGTTTAGGAGTAGATACAAATACAGACATTATGAGCATGAGAGTGAATAAAAGACAGAAAAACTGTATGTGTGTAAATGGAGCTCCGGTGGCCTGGTGGATAAGACGTGGTGCTGCCAACTCAAAGGCAGGCAATTGGCACCCACCAGCACCTCTTCAGAAGAAAGACGGGCAATCCCCTCTTGTGTGATTTATAACCTCAGAAAACCACCTGGAGGGTCAGCTAGGAGTCAGTTCTGACTTGACAGTGCATAATAACAACATGGAGTTGGGAGCTGTTGATGCCAGAAAGCCAGGTAATTTGAAAAAAGCTTTCTATTGCTGGTGACTGGTTCAAATCTACAAGTGGTTCCTAAAACCAAACCAAACCAAAACAAAACAATACAACCCAAAACAAACCATAGCAGTCTTCTTTGATAAAAATGACAGTCTTGGAAACCCTATGGGGTAGTTGTTATCTTCCCTGCAGGGTCATTCTGGGTCAGAATCATCTTGACTGCAGCAGGCTTTACTCAGGACAGTTGTTTGTAGGTTTGGGATTGGGAGGTAGCCCAAAGTTATAATGGCCTATTAATACCTGGAGTACTTAAAAAGCATCTTTAAGAACTTATGTTATCTGAAGTAATGGTCTTGAACACTTCTTTCCTCTGTTCTTATGAATAGTCTGAGTTAAGCTGCTGTACTGATCTAGGATTGTCCTTGTGTGTCATGAGTCAGAACTGACCCATTGTTGATCCTCAAGCTGGCTTTTGGAAGGCGAGCCTGTCCATCCTTCTGCAGAGCAGCTGATGAATTCAAAGTAAGTGAGTGCCTTTGAGATTGCAGTATAGTTTCTTACTACTAGGCCAGAGTTCCCCTAGGATAGAGACCTTATCCTCATCTAGGATAGAAATCTTATATATTATAATATTAACATGGTTAGCATAACAAAACAGGCTATTTATTGGCATTAGGGAAACATGTATTAGTGTCTGTTTCAAGCACCAGACTAGGTGCTATACTCATAAACTTCCATTACTTCTCCCTGCCATCCTCTGAGGGGCAGGATATTATTAACCACATTAAATGGCAAAGGCATGGAGATAAAGAGCGAGCAAGGAAGCAATGGACCATGGTTTCAAGACAATGTCAGATGGATCTTACAGCCCGTACTTCCTTTACCCTTCTAAACAGTGTTGTAAGTCAGAAACTGTTTATAGGAGCCGAATTTCTATGAAGTTCATAGATTATGAACATTACAGCAAACCTTCTCCAGAGGACCCCAGGGAAATTGAGTGATTTCAAAATACAGGGTCTAATCAGTAAACCACAAATTCTAAGATAAATAGAATTTAAGTCACCATTTGCTGCTCCTCTCTTGTCTTAGAGGCTATGGGACCAGGAATCCTCAAATGCAAATGTTTTCTAGTCAATGCCCTTGGGTGATCTCACGGTCAAGAAGACATCCAGAGGTGGCTTGGCAACACTCTGTGAAACAGTATTTTTTTTAGCAAAGGGATTAAGCTAGCACACATGACTGTGATGGGGCAACAGAACTGTAAGTTTATCAAGTGATAAAGACAGACACACAGAGATG